TATGTGAAATTGGAGTCCCTTAAAAGGAGAGAGGAAGCAGGGGCAAAATATATTGAAGAAATAATGGTAAAAAATTTTCCACTTTGAATTTTAAAATTCAAAATCTATAAATATGCTAATCAAAAAAGTGTAACAACCCCAAGCATAGGAAATTTGAAGAAATTTACACCAGGCGCATCATAATCAAATCTCCCAAAAACAATGATAATGAGAACATCTTAAAAGCAGAATGAGGGGGAAAAAAGAGACATATTTGTGCAGAGGAGCAAATATAAGAATGACAGAAAATTTATTAGAAACAATTTAGACAAAAGGTAGTAGAGCAAGATCTTGAAAATATTGAAGAAATGAGAAAAACTGGGACAAAGAGAAAACAAATAACAAGATGGTAGACTTAACCTAATCATAGTAATGATAACCTTAAATGTAAGTAGTTTAAATGCCCCAATGAAAAGACATTTTTCAGATTGGCTAAAAGGGCAAGTCTCAACTATATGCTACCTACAAGACATGCACTCTAAATATAAAGACACAAATAGTTCAAAAGTTAAAGTATGGAAAAATATATACCATGCTAACACCAGTAAAAAGAAGGCTCCTGTGGCTATCTTAACATCAGACAAAATATATTTCAGAACAAAGAATATTGCCAGGATAAAGAAAGTCATTTCATAATGATACAAGGATCAATTCATCAGAAGAATATAACATTCCTAAATGTTTCTGTTTCTACATCTAATAACAAAGCTTTAGAATACATGAAACAAAAGTGATTGAATTGCAAGGGAGAAATCAACAAATCCACAACTTTAGTAGATATTAATACCTCTCTCTCAGTAATTGATACAAGTAGTCAAAAAATCAGCAAAAACACAGTAGACAACACTATCAACCAACATGACATGGTTAACGTGAAACACTCTACTGAACAACAGCAGAACATATATTCTTTTCAAGTGCACCTAGAACATTTACCAGAATAATTAACATCCTGGCTATAAAATTAGTCTCAGTAAATATAAAAGGATTCAAGTTATACAAAGTAAGTTCTTTGACCACAATGGAATTTAATTAGAAATCAATAACAAGAAGATATCTGGAAAACCACTGGAACTGAAAAATCTGTAAAACACTTTAAAACTAAATAACACACTTTTCAATTACCCAAGGATCAAAAAGAAAATGAAAATTAGAAAGTATTTTGAACTGAATGAAAATAAAAAGACAACATATTAAAATTTGTGGGATGCCACTAAGCTGTACCTAGAGGAAAATTTGTAATACCAAATACCTGTAGTATCAGAAGAGAAGAAGGTGTCAAATCAATGACCTCAAATTTCACCTTAAAAAATTAGGGGAGAAAAAAAATCAAATAAAGCCCAAAATAGAAGAAAGGGAATGTAGCCCAAAATGAAAATCAATTAAATAAAAAACAAAAAATAGGGGAAACAAATATAACCAAACACATATTCTTTGAGCTCAATAAAACTAAATCTCCAGTGATACTGATCAGGGAAAAGAGAAGACACAGATGACCATATGAGAAATGAGAAAGGTGATACCAATAAAGATTCTACAGTTATAAAGATTATCCTGTATAAAGATTATACAGGATAATAAGAGAATATTATAAATGACATTATGCAAAAGAAATTGACAACTTAGATAAAAATGGACAAATTCTTGAAAGACACAAACTACCCAAGCTTATTCAAGAAGAAATAATTAAAATAACCTAATATCTATTTTAAAACAATTTATAGTTTTAAAACTTTACCACAAAGAAATTCTAGGCCCAGACGGCTTCGCCAATAAGTTCTATAAGACATTTATGAAAAAAAATTACTTCTACACAATCTCTTTTAGAAAAGGATAAAGAAGAAACTATATCCCATCTCATTTCATAAAGAGTGGACATACCCTGATACCAAAAGAGACAAGGACATTACAGGAAAAGAAAACTACAGACCAATATCTTTACAAACATTGAGGCAAAAATTTGAAACATTATTTTAACAAATGGAATCCAAACAGTATATTAAAACATAAACATGACCAAATGTTTATTGTAAAAGTACAGGGGTGTTTAACATTAAAAAAGGAAAACTATATGATCATCTCACTAGATATGTAAAAAGTATTTGATACGATTCAAGATCATGGAAAAAACCAACTTTTTGTTTGTTGATCTATTTTTTTTGTCTCAATTTCATTTATTTTTCTCTGATCTTTGTTGTTTGTTTTCTTCTACTAATTTTCAGTTTGTTTTTTTCTTGCTTTCCTAGTTCCTTGAGATGCATTGTTAGATTGTTTACTTGAAGCTTTTCTACTTTTTTGATACAGATATTTATTGCTATAAACTTCCCTTTTAGTACTGCTTTTTTTGTATCCCAGAGATTTTGGTATGTTGTGTTTCCATTTCCATTTGTTTCAAGACATTTTTAAGTTTTCTTCTCAATTTCCTCACTGATCCATTGGTTACTCTGAAGTGTGTTTCTTAATTTCCATGTGTTTGTGTATTTTCCTAGGTTCCTCTTATTGATTTCTAGTCACAAAAGTACTTGACGTAATTACTTGAATGTGGTCACAAAAGTACATGACATAATTTTTACTTTTTTTGATATTTGTTTTGTGGCTTAAGAGAGAGTCTATTCAGGAAAATGTTCCATGTGCTGATGAAAGAATGTATATTCTGAGGCAATTGGGTGAAATGTTCTGCACATGTCAGGCCTAATTGGTCTAGTGTGCAATTTAGCTCTGACGTTTCTTTGTGATTTGTCTGGTTCATCTGTCCATTACTGAAAATAGGATGTTGAAGTGCCCTACTACTGTACTGCAGTCTATATCTCTGTTTAAATCTATTCATGTTTGCTTTATATACTTGGGAGCTTTGGTGTTGGGTGCACAGATATTTATAATTATTATACCTTCTTGCTGAATTGACCCCATTATCATTATATAGTGACCTTATTTGTCTCTTTTTATAGTCATTGATTTGTAGTCTATTTTATCTGATATGAGTATAGCTATGCCTACTCTTTTTTTTGTTTCCAGTTGAATGGAATATGTTTTTCCATCCCTTCACTTTCAGTCTCTGTGCCTTTGTAGGTGAAGTGGGCTTCTTGTAGGCAGCATACAGCTGGATTTGGTTTCCTTATCCCTAAGCCACTCTATGCCTTTTAATTTGAGAATCGAGTCCATTTACATTCAGTATTATTATTGATAAGAAGAACTTATTTCTTGTTTTGGGGTTGTTTTATAACTCGTCTCTTCCTTTTGTCCTTTATTACTATATTCTTTTGTGGTTAAGTAATTTTCTTTGGTAGTATATTTTAATTCATTGCTTTTTATTTTTTGTGAATCTATTATAGGTTTTTGCATTGTGGTTACACGAGGTTTACAAAAAACATGTTACAGCTATGACAAGTTAAAGAGATGAACACTTAAAGCACGAAGGAAAGAATAGAAAGAAAGAATAGAAACAAAAAATCTCTAGATTAGAACGCCATCCTTCTATATTTTGACTGTTAGTTTTCTCCATTTACATATTTTTATACTGCCTATCTTTTAGCAGATTGCTATAGCTATTACTGTTTTTGATAGATTTGTCTTTTGGGATTCACACTAGAGTAATGAGTGGATTGCATACCACAATTACAATTCTGGGTTTTTCCATGTACTTAATTTTAACAGAGATTTTATACTTTCAAGTATTTTCTTTTTGAGCATTAGTGTTTTTTTCTTTCAGATTGAAGAACTCTCTTTAGTATTGCTTATAAGATAGGTCTGGTGGTGGTGAATTCTCTTAGCTTTTGTTTGGGAAAGATTTTATCTCTTCATATTTGAAATATGGCTTGGTTGGATACACTATTCTTGGATAGCAGGGTTTTAACACATTAAAAACATTGTCTCATTCCCTCCTGACCTACCTGGTTTCCACTGAGAAGTCTGTTGCTAGACATATTCTTTTCTCTTGCAGCTTTTAGGTTCTTCTCTTTGTCCTTGACCTCTGGAGAGCTTAATTATTATATGAGTGTTTTTCACTTCTCTGTGGCCTCAGGAATTCTCTCATCCTCATATTTGAGTTCTGAGGTACTGCTGATGATAATGATAATCTTGGCACTGTATATTTGTTTTTGTTTTCTGGGGTGGCTGGATAGGGACTGAAGACAGCTTGCTTCTACACCACCATTTTTAATAGGATTGTATTTTAACAGAAGCTTTAAACATTTTATTTTGTCCTAAACTGCTCATAATTTTAACATAGTAGGTACTGAATGAAGGATCTGATGAGGTGTTTTTAGATAGTAGAGCAAATGCTTAGGTATTCTCCACTGTTAAATTGTAATAGGGCATGGGTGATTGATTTTAGGAAACATGGCATAAAGGGAGAGAAAATTTCCTTCATATCTGACCCTCAACTCTGATTTCTTTTAGTCATCTAATGACTTCTATCAACATATGCTTATTACTAGCATTTCAAATTCATATTGTTCACGTAATAAATAAGGCAGTGTTATATTAATATAAATGAATAGATCATAACTCTTTTTAGTCCTAATATCAACTTTCTTCCTGATCAATTTCTTTTTGCATAGATACTAACAGTCATAAAAATGGATCAATGAAGTAAAAATTTATCTTTCTCCTTCTGTCTTGAACTCAAGAGCTACTAGAAGAAAATATATATATTAGATTCATCTAAATAATTCGACAACAATAAAAAAGTGTCTTGAATAATTGAGTTGACCCTATTAGTAAAGATTACTTAGCACTGTTTACTCTGGCATCTTTGAAGAATTCACATTTTTTGTTTGGTTCTTTAGACCATTTTATCAATTTGTTTTAATTGCTCAGAAGATGAAACAGTTATATTTCAACGAACTGAGTATTGTTTAGATAAAATAATGCATATAACTACAGATTAGAACTTTATTTTCTGCTGACTTATTGGTCCTACCCTGACAGAAGATATTAAGTAGTTCAAATAAAATACGTACCTGGCGGTAAATTGGCCAACTTCTTCAAGAATCATAGAAAAGTATTTTAAAGTTTTCTGAGTGTGCTTTGAGTGTGCTGTAAGTTTCTTTGAATCACCAAACAGAGAAAGGAAATAATCTTCTCCATCCCCAATCATGGGTGATTCATCCTGTTTCTTTGGAACCAAGAAGGGGCCGGCATCTTTCAAATAAACCAAATAAATAAGTAACCAGGAAAGAAGTAAATAAAATGACATTAAAAGGACCCAAAGCCATTATCTTTCTTCTCTGCTTCTACAAAATTATATTTTTACATTTTAATATCACTATCACACTTAATAAGAATAGTTAGAAACTTTAAACAAAAATCCATAAAATAATCAGTAAGTGGATATTTATAGTGACATCTTCAATTCCTAGAGATTATTTCAGTTATCTTAAACAATAAATTATATCATTACTATAATGACTATTTAACTGATTATTTAGTGGTACTAGACGCATCATCAATTTTTAAATAGGAAAAACATCTGATTCTGTCAAATTTAGATATGTTACATATAAATATAGCCTTATTCTACTTCATGTATGCTAAAATTCCCAAATGGCCACCCATAAATTAAAACCTCATATGAATCCTTTCCTACAATGGTTAGTACTTTTGTCAGGTAAAGACATAAACTTCCTCTATTTAATTAAAATACTTTATTAGAAAGATAAAGTAATGCTTAATCAGATTCTAGTGTCCTATTAGAAGTTTGCTCTTTTAAATCCTCACTACTTTGATTCAAATACAAAATAGGTTTCATAATTTTAAACATAAAGAGCCATTCTGGACAAATCTAATAATACATCCGCAAAGAGAGTTACACTACAAAGATGCATCGTGATGAAGTGGAAAGAACAATGAGTCTTGCATTTAGACAGACTTGTAATTATATTTCAGTTCTGCCATTTACTAAGCCAAGTGATGTAAATTTTCCATGTTTCCATTTTCCTGAACATAAAATAAAGATATCACTCCCTTGTGTAAGGAGATAAGAGAGCTGGAGATCATGTAGGTGTCTAGCATAATATTTAATATTTATCTGCTAATAAATGATAGCTATTATTACAGTACAGAGTTTTGGTTAATGTGACTCTTGGTCCAAAATCCTCAAAGGATTAAGACAATCTAGAGTTTGAATGTTACATCTTTAGCAGAACCAAAACAAGGTGAAAGATATAAAGGAATAAAATCATCGTTCTTAAAGAAGATTCCTCAAAGTATTTTGTTGAGAAAAAAAGAAACATTTGGAATTGCATTAATTCATTCTCAGTTGAGTACTTCCTTAATCCTTAAATTCCTTTGGGAAAGGATAATATACAGCATCTTTCTTAACAGTTCATCTCGAGAAATAAAGGCCTTGCTATTTCAAGAGAAAAGAAGACACATTAACTTTGGTCCCAGCTGTTATTTTGTCTAGAATAAAAGATGGCAATGAACCAAGTGCAACAAATCTCAGTGAACCTAGACATCTATCTAGAGAAGTGGAATCTACAGTAATGGAAGGAGAAGACTACATCCCAATTCAGCTCCCATACTGTAAGGGGAAGCCACTGTATTTCATTTTTTTGCCCCATTGCAAGGAGCCAAAGTTTAACCCAAATATAGAACATATGCCATGATGATATAATGATGAATGACAGAAAATCTTTTCTTCCTAGATCTAAAATTTGTATTTACATTTTCAGTATGTGGGTTTTGGTCACCCTAAAGGTCAGTGTAAACTTAGGAGGTTTCTTGGGAAATTTTATACTTGTCATACAAAAAATGAAACATAGGGAATATGACCATAATGGCAGGAGAAAAAAACCCTATATAACCCACATCAACGATTTTTTAAAAATATCAGAAACAAAATGAAATATAGATGAGGGGCAGCCAGACTGTAAATGAGTACAGAATGGTAGACGATAATGGAGGCATCAGATAGTCACTGGACTATTTGTGCTACCAGTTTTGAAACTTGTTAGTTGATTGGCAATTGAAACACAAACTCCAAATCTAGTCTACTTTAAAAGAAGGTGATTACATGTATGTTCAGATGAACAACTAATGTTTATTGAGTATTTATTATGTGCTAGGTAATTTTCATAAAATTTAATCCTTAGGATAGCCCTGTGACATTTCTATTTTAATCTCCGTTTTGCAGTGGTGGAAAATGAGATGCTGAGATGTTAAGTACTCTACCTGATGCCTAACATTGTAGAAAAACAGTAGGTCCTGTGTTTTAAAGGATGATAGTGTTTTCAGTAAACCACAAAAACATACCCTCAAAGTTCCCTAATCATGGTGAGAAACAAACACCCTAGAGCATGGGTATTGCTGAGCACATTGTTGATAACAGTCAAAACTTTACTTTTTCTGATCATAGTACTGTTTTCATTTTCCTCTCCTTCAAGTTCTCCTTATTGTTTTACCACTTTCTCTCCATTATTTTATACCTACTTCATGTTACATCTTTGTCTCATCTATCTGTCTATTCCTTACTTAAGCCATACATCTCCTAAAGGCACAAAGTACACAAGATATGGCTTAATCCTTCTGGCAGTGTTCAGAGAAAGGGCAGTTAATGCTATACATTGGAATTTTTAATCTCTAGCAATTCTAATGTATGTTAGCAGTCAACTCATGAACCATCATGATAACTCAAGATATCTTAATTATAAGGATGATATATTTGGCACATGCATATATGTGGCCTGAATTTAACACCCCAGTTCTAGGATCAGTGATGACCCTAGTTAAGTTACTTTTCATAAGATGCTAAGAAGTTAGCATTTTGGGGGACTAATAATAAAACATCATTCTGGCTGAGAGTCATATATGCAATCTATTGAAATACGTGCTTTAAAAGTACTCTAAAAATATGGGGTTCATATTTTGCTTACCGAAACTGTTTTCCGTTCGGGAACAGCTACCTGCAGTAGCTTTAGAAGTCAATTGTCCAGTTGTTGATATAGTTACTCCACTAATCTGAGGACTAGACAGATGGTAACCAAGAGGCATTCCACTGGATAATGAAGATGACAATGGCAGTGTTGTGGCAACCGAACCCACCATCTTTGGGGAAAAATGTACTAAAGAATATACTGGGGGAGTTCCAAGTTTGTCTTCTCTTCTGTGTACAAAAAATATAATAAACAAATAAATAAGAAAGTAAAACTGGCTGTTAATAAAAGAAGCATGGGCTATCATTATTACCCAGAATTCTGCTTTTCAAAGGTAATATGCATCCAACACAAGCATAATAACATCTTGTATTTCTCGTTCTAACAATCTAAATAAAACACTTTATTATCAATTTATTATATGCTTTAAAATATTTGAAAATTAACAAATTTCTATTGTAGATGGTTCTGAAAATGTGTAAGTAGAAAAAAGATAATACTAATCATTACAATACCACCAACAAGACATTTTACCATCTCCTCCCAGGCTTTTAAATGTAGTTTTTTACTCTAAGTTGAGACTTTATAAGCCATTAATACCTCCACTTTGATCATTTATCATATTTCCCATTTCCATTACCATAAAATCATGATTATAATTCTGGTTTAATATATCATTGTTTCCTTTATGCTTTTCCTTTAATTCCTGTTGCTGCTTAACTACCTTTTCTATATTAAGATTGTTTAGTGAATGTCTGCCTTCAAATAAACTGTACATGTTTGTGTGTGTGTATGTGTATTGGAGGGAATGACAGAAAAGAGAGAGAAAAAAGATCATTTTCACGTACTATTTTTAGTACGTATTAAGTGAATCTTACCATAAACAAAGATTTCCTTTCTTTTTTATAACTATAAAAGCATTTGTTAACTAGTGCACAATCATTTGAACAAGGTTCATAAGCTTCAGTACAATTATTTTACAAGTTAAACAACACTTCATTGACATGAATCCTGAAAAGACTTAGGACATTTCATTTTATGAGTCACATGGAGGCTCTTCCCAGTGACCTCAAAGCAATTTTTGGGGGTGCATGTGTGTATGCATGCATGTTCAGTGCTTAAATTGTGAACAAAGTCCTTGAATCCAAACCCATTATTTCTCTGAAAAATGAGACAAATGGCCAGTTCAACCATCCCCTTTCTGGGGTCCACATATCTATCCACTATAAGTCCGGAACTAATTATTTTGTCTCCATGAATTATCTCTGTTTTGATCTATTTCCCAGAGCTCTTATAAAGTTATTTTAGCCAGCCTCTACATGTTTTTCTTTCAGGTCCTTATAGGAGAATGAGGGCCTGGAGTTTCCTACTCTGCCATTTTGCTGCAGTCACCCTCAATGTCTCTTTGTTTACCAAGAGGTATTCACAATCATTTTGTTCTACAATGTGAAAGTTCCTTTATCAGAAATCTTATACCTGGAGAGTTTTGTATTCAAAGCTAGACTGCTCTTAACGTGCCTCTCGGAGGGCACAGACATCTCAGGCAAATTTTTAAAAAAATTAAATGGCATTGGCTTTGAAAATATCATGATTACTAGGCTTTGAAAATGTCATTATTACTAGTTAATAAGCATGTGCACTTAACATCCTGCTGACACTCCAAGAATTCATGTTTGTCAGAAAAGCTTTAACCTATGAAGATACACTATTGAGTATGACTGTAGAGGTAGTGGGAAGGAGACTTTAGAGGTAAATTGTCAGATTACAGATATTTCATCTTTGTTCAACATGAGACAGTATTGTAAGACAGGACTTCTCCCTGACATTGACTACAACAGCAGATAAATGCTTTTCTCTTTCAACATTCCTTACATCTGGGCTTCATAACAGACTGGCTATTCTTTTCAGTATGTTCATTTTATAAGATCTCAATTTTTTTTCCTCTAGTAAAACAATAGCACTTTAAAATAAATTTAATTCCACAAAAGATTCCCAAGAAGCCTTAACAAAATCTTTGCAATCACAGAAACCTGTCCTGGAGCTATAGGGTATTCTTATTTTGGTAGGTGAATAAGAAATTTTTCTTTTCTTTCTTTCTTTCTTTTTTTTTTTTTTTTAAATGAGACAGGGTCTTGCTCTGTCATCCAGTTTGGAGTACAGTGGTACAATCATAGTTCACTGCAACCACCAACTCCTTGGTTCAAGTGATCCTCCCACCTCAGCCTCCCATGTGCTGAGACTACAGGTGCATGGCACCATGCCTGCTAA